ATCCACTTCCCAATCTCTATAACCCTAGTATTTGTTTACTGATTTACAAATCGGTCAAGAGAATTTAGACTCGATTGTCACTGAAGGGTCAAAATACAAAACACCAACATACACTAGCCCCAGAATATTTAAATTGTTACTTGGGCTTGAATGAGGGCAATTTTTAGTTAACGTAGTAATTTTAGCAGAGGTGGGAGGGGGTGCTCACCTACCTCTGCAATAACAGAGGAGTTTTAAACACATTTTTCCAATAGTTGTGAACTCTTAGCCAGTGGTCAGTGCTGTTACTCCTACCGCCTGTGTGTAATATAGGCAAGGGCAAGCTGCTGTCTACCTATGAACAAACCACATTTGAGAGGGAAGTGATGGATGCCAGCCTCAGAGGAGCCTCCACCTCTCCCCAATAAAATTCAGGGGCAAACAAGTGCCCGCCTTCCCAAGTCAGGCCAAACCTGGCATAAAGTGCATTTTATAAGGTGTGAGCGAGTGCCAGGGATCTCTCGAGTCACGGCAACTGCTGCTGAAACTTATTAACCCTTCCTCTACTACATGCACTTGTAAACCGAAATTAAATCACGTGGAAAATAGCAATTTTCCCAGGAATCATTAATCACCTCATACAATAAATACTTCTTTGTAATTCAACAGCAATTCTGAAAGGCATTCTCTGGGAAAAGTCTGTGGAGAAGCAAGGGATCTTCTTGCAAATAATGTGTTCTCGGGCAAAGATGCAGCATCTTGGCTGTCTGCTCAAAAATGCCTAGATTCTTGGTGGAAACTGAGTGTTGAGCTGCAAAACCTCACATGGCAGATTATCATCAATTAAGGTAACTTCTTATATTTCTCCTTTGTAGTGAAGGAGGGGGATGAGGGCATTAATTAGCTGCATACTGGAAGCAGCTGTATGAGGCTAAAAGGGGTAAGGAAGAGAGAGGATGGAGATTGTTGTTGTTGTTGTTGTTGTTTTAACTATTCCAGTGCAAAATGGCATTTTTACCCAAACTGTCTTGATTATTAAGGTACTGGTTAAGTTCTACCAAGTCAAAATGGTTCAGAATGATCCATATGATTGTGTCATTTCTTTAGTGTTTTGCCTGTTTCAGATTTGGTCTTTTATAGGAGCTTGTTATAACAGCTTAGAAAATCCCACTTTGTGCTTCAAAATCGTGCATTGTCTGCCCTTTGCTAGGGCAACCATAGGAGTTCACCCAGAGGACAAATTTTCTATCTCATTAATTGTTGTTGTTGTTGTTTTTAAGCAAACCTTTCTGGCCCCTCAAACCCTTGACCTTTAAAGACAGTATTTTGTGTAAGCTCTATAATTCTCCTACCAAAATGATCCTTACACATGCTCTCCTCTTCTTTCTCTCTTTCTCTCTCCTTCTCTCTAACACAAACTCATCTGCTTTAGTCACATAGCCAAGCTGTGCATGACTCGAGGATATAAAAGTTTTGTCAACATCCGAAATCAACCTAAATCGGGTAGGAGACACTTTAATGGTCACAGTTTGAATTAAGTACTTAACAGTCTCCCCCCTGAAGAAAAATGGCACTTTGCAGGCTCTCTTTCCTAGTTTTGCTGAAATCTACGATATACCCGGTGTTTTATTACAGTAGGAATTCAACTGTGACAAGCATAGTAGAGTACTTAATACCCAGGATGGAGCTCATGGGAAGATTACCTAGATATATGAGGAGTGGGCCTTTGCACAACATCTCTGACTTTATACTCAGCTGTCCCAGGGTGCCCACATCCTCCCCCACCACTCAGCCTCCTCTCCATGGGGTGGGTATCACCATGCTTCCTCTGTCCCCCTGCTCCCCTAAACTACCAAACTGTGCTGTTCTCACCCACCACTGCCTTCCCTCCAGCAGTTTCACATGGAAACAGATCAACCACTCTTTAGAATGGAAAGAAAGAAAACCCCCAAAGAATCAATGTGTTAAACAGAGACCTGGGACTTCCCATCTGAATGAATGGGTTCTATGCAGGCAATAAACAGTTCTTTAAACTCTCTTGGTCTCTGCATCCCTAGCTAAGGTAAGGTCCTCTATTGGAGAACACAGTCTCACCCTTCCCAACAGCTGCTCCTGCAATAGTTGCCCTTCTCTGTACTATATACAAACCCAAGACTAACTCTGCTTCTTCTCTCAAAGAGTATGGGCTTGGGGAAAATAGATGGAAGAAGAGAGACCTGTGTTGTAACTCTTTGACAGCATCAAGGAGGCTGCTGGGGCTGTTGCAAAATATTCTCATCTGAAATCTCTGTCTTGGAATTCTGTCACTTTTTATTATCAAGGCCCCAAACTCATGAAGTAACCCCTGACTCCTTTCAGGCCAGCTCCGGTCTCTCTGGAATTGATTCCTGGGGCTAAAAGAGATCCCTGATTAAAAGAATATCCTGGAAAAAAAGAGAGCTGGAGGCCATATTGATTCCATCTCAGTTTATGGATGCAGAAACTGAGGCAGCTGAATGCTCCCCCCCCCACCATGTTCTTTATGTTAATGAGTTGTGGATTTGGTCTCACCTTAAATAGGGGTAAATGCACAGGCACCTTTCTTTGGCAGAAGTTTATTTTGCCTGGAATGGACCAGAGTTTGGGTTCACACCTGACATGGAGGGCCACAGGTGTGTTCCACCAGGTTAGAAGGGTGTTGAGATAGGTGGGTTGACCGCTGGGCCCAAGAGGTGACAAATGTCAGGGTGCCTGGGAGAGGAGTGGACACGCCACTGTTCACAATTCTCATAGTCTCAGAATGACTAATTCTGCTATGCTTGCCCTGAGATTTCTATGGCGTTCTTTTGCCCACAGCTGGGCAAGGATGTCTGCATTCTGGAGGCCTGGGAACTGAAAAAGCCAACCATGGACCCTGGTTGCAGCAGATAAAGGTGTAGCGCCTGTTCAAGGGAGATATTGAAATTGTAATCTTTGAGGTCACGTGACTCATTAAATAATTAATGCCAATCGTCAAGAATGGATGGAGTCAGCAGGGCCTCACTAGGAATGAATCTCTCAGAAGTAAGACCCCCAACTTCCTATTTGATTTTTTAAAACACACACCTTCAGATTTATTTCCAAAGGCTTTTAACTCCTTCAGGAGGACTGGAGAGAGCCCTTCAGCGGGGAGGACCCGAGCTGGCGGGCCCAGCCTGGGTGTTGGGGCTTTTTCTGCAGGGTTTGTGCGAGTCCGGAGAACACACCGCGTCCAGGGAAATGTGAGTTGGAGCTCGGGTTTTCTGCGGTCATATCCTGGCTTTGGTGATGAAATGGGACGGATGCGCAGACAGTTGGTAATGTTCTGATTCACACTGGGGAAGGCTGCAGAGATACCACAGGACAGGCGCGCGGCTTTGTTCAATTTTCCCGGTGTTCATAAATCACCCGCGCCAGGCGAGCGAGGGAGCAAGCGAGCGCCAAAAACACCGAGAGAGGCCACAGCGGTGGCGGCGGCCATTGCAGAGGGAGAGACCTGGGCAACATCTCTTTGTGACTCATTAGTCTGAACGATTTATGGGGAACAGCAGCCACGAATATTTGACTTGGGGATAAGAAAATAGCAACAATAATAATAACCATAATAATTACAATACTCCAAAGCCTCGCTCAGTGGGGGTGGCTTGGCGGATTGTGGCATAGCGGATCTTTCTGGGACAAAGTTGAGTAGTAACATGCAGTGTAGCTAAGCCCCACTTTGCTCAGGGTTATGCCAGGAGCACCAAGGCCAGGGGGCACTCACTTTGGGGACATAGAGGGCGAGTCTGAACAAGGGAAAGGGGCCCAGCATGGATTCTGAGTCTCAAGTGCCTGATGGACGGTAGAGGCTGCAGGTCATGGTAGTGGTAGGGGGCAGCTAGCTTTTGACTTGCGGGCACTTGTTCAGTGTGCTAGGGGGCTGTGAAGCCTGGAGGTCAGGGGATCTGTCAGCTATTGGGTAGCTGCTCTTGGTGCTATCAGCAGGATTGCATGGATGTGGGACAGCCATTGAGGCAGGCTGGAGTGTGGGGAGGCTATTTGGGTTTGGATGAAGGGGTAGTGGGGCAGGGGCAGGGCTGTGGAATCAATCCACTGGGCAGGCAGTCCCAAGTCCAGCAAAGAACTTCTCCAAGCCAGAGGTCATTACCTAGGATGATTCTTGCCTCTTCCTCAGAGACTTCCCCTAACCCCCAAAGTTGGCTGACCATTTGCTGGTTAGAGAGCAAGAGAGGGTTGCAGATATCGTAAAGGACGAGGTGGTAGCAGACTTAGGCATCTAGCCCCACTGCACAAGGTGAGGCTGGATAGGGTCTCTAGATCGGGTATTGTCGGATGCCGATATCCTTCCCAGTTTCTGCCTATTCCTAGCAGCCTTAGTTGGCCTGCTGTGAGGGACTGGGCACCGTAGTCCCACCAGCCCACTGGGGCAGAGAAGTGACAAGCCAAGGGCTTGAATGAACCAGAAGACAAAACCTCTGAAGGCTGCCCCTGGCCCATGGGCTGAGCTGGAATTTGATTTCGCGCCAAACAGAAATGAACACTATTAGTGAGGTTTCGGGAGACTCCGTGATTGAATGCTCCCAGACAAGGCTTCCCTTTGTTAGCAAAAGAAAATAAAGCGTGCATTCACATTCCCCAAGTTGAGGTGAGTGAGGAGCTCTCGGAGCAGAGCAGGCACCAACAGCAAAGCCCTTCCACCTTCCTATCTTGCTCCGCCTCGTCCATTTTCTTCCCCCTTCCCCCCTTCCCACCCCCTATATAAAGAAAGAAAAAGAAGAGTGTGGGTGCGGAGATGGAGTATGTATTTATTTTACAAAAATAAATCACCATCTTCAGGCCATTTGTAGACTGGAACCTTTCGAGCAATGAGTGTGCCGCATGGACGAATGCCTTGGCGACTCCTCCGTGTCCGCGTCACCCCGGGGGCCACCCTGGCGCCCCAACTGTCCGCGCTTCCAACTCCGGTCCTCCGACTCCCTTCCTTCGCAGCCACCGTTCACCCTCTGCTGTTTATTTATCCTCAGAGCTCCTGGACACCGGAAAAGGCGATTCCCTGAGCGCCCCGGAGTTGGAGACAATTTGGGGTTCAGTCTTAAACATCTTTCGAGGTAAGCGCTGTGCCCCAACTCGTCACCGCTTGGGGCTTTGCACTGGGCCTTTGGCAGGAGTTTGCTCTTCCGCTCCGGGGCAGCTGCAGCCCTTGGAAAGAGGTTCTGGTCAATGTTTAACTTCGGAGGAGTTTTGGAGCTCGGTTCTCTTCAGCTGCACGTTTTGCGAATGCGGGGCTTCAGGCAAACAAAGAGCCCGCAAAGCCGGCGTTTGCAGAAAGGGCGTTCGCAAAGACCAAAGATGTGTGTGTTTGGGGGCGCGGGGATGTCAGAAGGTTGTATTTGTTTCCTCCGGCAAGTTCCAAACAAACCACTACATGGAGCAGCAGGGCAAAAGCCAGCAGAGGCCACGGGCGCGGCGGCCGCTGCGTGGGCCGTTCTCCTTGTTCACTGTTGGCGGCGCCTGCGGAGCCTGTGAGTTCGGAAATTGCGGTCAGTCCAGCTCTGCATGGAGGAAACTGGTCTCACTGCCTTGCAGTTTCTCTTGTCCTTTGGCTTTTCCTTGGCGAGAGGGAAGTTGCTGCATTTCCAAAGTGTAGGCTGTCGCACACACGCAGCGGGCTTCTAGGTTCCTTTAGCCAGGCTGACCTGCTCACTGTTCTTCCTATGGGAAAAGCACGGGTTTTCTATGTCTCAGCGTTTTCTTTTCCTATTTGGAACAAGGGAAAACTCTTTAAAATTCTTTTCCAGTTCTGGCTTAATTTGTTCTCTTAGTTTGAGATGCAGGGAGGTAATTACTGTGGTTTATTACCTTGTAAAAGATCCATAAATTTCGTGCCTATTTGGGGGAGGGGCTGCTGGAATAGCTTTCTGAAGCTTGTATGAAGGAATGGGTTTGCTTTGTTCTTTGAGGAATTACTTCTTTTAAAAAGTTTTCTGAGATTTTGTTTTCTATTCCCTAGGCCTCAGTCTTCCTTAAAATTTGCTCCCCAAATAGATACCAGCTTGCTAATTTGTTGCAACATGCTATTCTGAGATGCTCTAAGGCTGATATGGTGTTCTGGATACAATTCTTATTTTATTAGATAGGAAGTAAACAGTAATAGTAAAGTTGGGTAACTTTCTCAGCTACTATGTATCTATTTATATCAAGTATAGATGAGCATTTCAGGAATTTGCAACTCAGTGTGGACAAATGATTTGCATCTCTGCACACAACAGAGCCATTGCATGTATAAACAGTTGCAGGAGTTTGAGACCATGTATATAAAGTGATACACACATCCATGTGTGTCCAGAGAACTTGGAGCCCATTTGTAGTGCAGTTGCACCCACAGGAAATATCTCATGTTAAATAATTATCTATAACACACACACACACACACACACACACACACACGTGGGCTAAGAATGCCTCCTAACCTACACTGAGTAGAAAAACCACTAGAGTCAACTAAGAGGAGAAAAATGTTAAGTGTATTTTTGACAGAAAAATCAGATTGTAGTGTTTGAATACAGATATATCTAATCTGCCAACAGCCTTGCAAATATTGACTAAAGTACTGAATCCTGAGTCACCTGCTCCTTCTGAGACAACTTTCTGCCTATTGTGGCTCTGGTGGCCTGGATCCAGGGCATGTGTCCCCAGCCCTGGCTGGCCAGGTTGGGGACTGGGAAAGTAAATGGAGCAATACTAGCAGCTGGGTTCCCCAGCCTGGGCCTAGATACTTAAGCATCTCCATTCTTGTTCTCTGAAATAGAAGTTTAAAGGATCCATAGCCTTTCCCCAGGAAAGCAGATTTCAGAGTGGTGAAGGAAGCCTCTCAGCTGCTGGTTCCCTGGTAGCTTGCCCAGACCAAGCTCTCTCTTTGGGAAGCCATTTTCATCTTAAAAGTTAAATTTCTTTTGACTTCCTCAGATATTTTCCTTTATATTCCACTATATCACCTCATCCTACCCCAAGTCATCAGTGTTAATTGTTAAACAGCAGTTGGAGCATTAACTGGGCTGTTAATAGCAGCATGGAGGCTCCTGGCTGGAGCTAAGATGCCTCTGGGCCTTGCTGGCGTTAAGGCATTTCTCTGAAGCACTACCAAAGACTTCTCCCATTGATTTATGGCCTTGGGAATGTCGATTTGCTCCAGACTGTTCTGAGAGTTCTGAAGGGGCCCCTTCTCATCTTTGAGTTGAAGCCCCTACAGAAACTTTGGTTGGGGGGAGTGGAGTTTGCCAACAATTGGGCAGTATTTCCAGCTCCTTTCTAGGCTATCTTAGTGTAAAATATTTGGGGGTGGTGGGTACGAGGAGCAGAGGACAGTATATTACTGGTCTGAGTCCTTGAGGGGACTAGGGAGTGCTTTTGGAAACCAGCCTTTGGTTCTGTCCTCTACCTCACCCCCAAACCTGAGAGAAGCAGGTTTTCACTTTGGCTTCTTACTTTCCAGCTTGTGGCTTAGGTCAGAGCTGGGAAAGCTGACACAGAGGGTCTCTCCTAGTTATAGCACAGAGAGAACTTTACTGGAATACTGCTACCAGCTTTGGCCAAGGCTCACTTCCAAGGAGTGAGGTCTCCTCCTCCTTCATTGCCATTCTGATTTGGCCACCCTTATGACCAGGCCCCTTTACTGAGGGCCTTGCAGTCTTACCAGGCCCTTTCTGTTCCCCTGCAGCCAAGGAGGGGAGGGGAGGGGAAGAATTGTGCACAGCTTCCTGCAGCTGCTACAAGTGACTCCTCATGCTTAGAGAGGCCCAGCTAACTGAGGACCCACTCTCCAGGAACAAAAGAATATGGCATGAGGATCTCACCACCTCAGAGTACTCCCAAAGTTCAGAAACTAACACCTGAAAAGAGGAACTTTTTAGACAGCTCCTGAGAGGGTGAAGTGTTGAAATCAGTGGAGAATGTCACCAACCAGAAGGCAGGAGTGTGTGTGTGTGTGTGTGTGTGTGTGTGTGTATGGGGGTGCTTATTTATTTCAGCTGAGTTCCTTCCAAGAAGAGGTGGTCTAGTTCAGTTTCTGCTGGTGGACACAGAGTTGTCTTAGCGGACAGTGAAAACAGTCTTGTCTACAGAAAGGGTCCCAGATTGTCTTATAGTAGGTTAGTTAATTCAAGGGATGCTAGCTAGCAAAGGTTGTATTTGTTTCCTCTTCTTGCAGAAACAATTAGATCATTTCCCTTTACATTTTTCATTATTAGAAGCCTATAATTTCATGTATCATTCAGTTCTGCACTGAGGAAAAGCACAAGTGCAGGTTTGGCCTGGGCACTGGATCCTTCCAGATTTTGCAAAACTCTGACCTACCACTCTAGAGGGAGGCAAGCACCTCTTTCCTAGGGGGCTTCCATCGAACAAAACCAATTGAATTTGGAGGAGATGCTTAAGCCTTTTGTCAGGTAATTATGGGCCTTTTGGATTTCTATAGTGGCTGTGGTGTGTGGCGTGGGTGTTAGCACACTCCATACAATGCAGGCTGTGAGGGAGTCCGCTGGGTTTACTCACATTGTCTGACTAGGCCAACCATTACTGGGTTTTCTTCTGGAAACAGGGCCTAGGCCTTGCCTTTTGATATATTGGCCAGAGGGCCAAGGAGACTGGAGTGCTTGGGTGGTGCTGGATTCAGGAAGTCTGTGAGGGGAAGACTGTAAGGAAAGTTGTGTGGACTCTAAGAATGGGGACAGCATTGCTGTTTCCTTATGTTTGGATTGAGTGCACAGATATATAAGGGGAGGTAACTGGCCTTGTGCAGGGCGGCAGGTGTTGGGATAGGGATAGAGATGCCCCCAGCATTCAACTGCCCTAGACAGAACTCTTCCTTGCTGCTGGTCAAGGCCCCCCACTTCCCCTCCCCTAAAGCTAAATGTTCTGCTTGGAAACCTAGTTCCTTCAGTGATTCCCTATTTCAAATAAAAGGATTTAAGTTGACGTATGACCACGTGAGCACATAATACAGCACATTATTGTGGCATTTGGAGCGGAGACCCTGGCGGCTTTGCCTGTGATTACGTTTTTTCTAGATTCTCTACAGAGAGAGAGCTCCCCCCACCCCACCCTCCGCACACCCACCTCCTCCTTCTCCTTCCCCTTCTCCGGAGAGCACTCTCCTAGTGGTTGCAGTTTTCAGCACTCATGGAGCGGTTCTGGGCCAGCTAGCCGATGGGACTGGAGGCCACACCAGAAGGATGGAATTTATTTTAAGGTATTTCCGTTAATTGTTCATATCTAGAGTGAGTTATGGCTGTGAGAGACAAAGGTCAGGCGAGGAGACCCTGGTTCAGGGACAGGACCCTCAGCCCCCCTCTTCCTTTGTTTCTCCTGTAGAACTGAAACCATTTGAAAGATTCCAGGAGCGCCTCAGACTAGACTGAGTTTAATTCCCAGAAAAGTGTTGAGGGGTGTAAAGTAAGGGGCACTTGGGTGCTAATCGGTGGGCCTGGTGGCCCCAGTGCTTGGTGGCTTTGTCCGCTACAGTGGGGTTTGAGTCCCTGGAGCTGAGCCCCAGGGAGAGGGAGAGTCCTGAAGTGCCCGAGCAGGCTAAGGTGGCCCTCACTGAGTTCCTAGGCGACACTGCCTGGAGGGGGTGGATGCTGAGTAAAGGAGAAAGGAGAAAGGGAATTGCTCCCCCATTGCTTCTGCTTGCTAGCCAGGGATGGTAGACTAGGGCTGACCAGGGCAGCAGGAGCAGCTGGGAGAAGGAAATCAATGAGTGTGCAGATGCTCTGCCATTTTATTGATGATGCTTCAGGCCACTTTGTTCAGTGCTGGGCTGCAGGATGCGCTTTCTCACACAAGGGATGGAAGGAGCTGGACTCTGAGGACACGCCTTTGTTCCCCTGAACACCCTCTGCCCGGTAGGGGTGGAGAAGGACAGCACCGATTTTGGAGAAGCTTGGGGTGGGGGTGGGGGGTGAGTGTGCTGGATACCCAAAGCTCTGTTATTCTAATGTTAAGGATACAGAGGAAAGAGGGAGCCTGAACTGGGTTTGGGCTTCAGAACGAGCATGGCCTGGCCACCCTCTGTACGCCCCCAGCTGGCTTGGAGAGTTGGAGGACTGGCGGG